CCTCTTAATATCCCCCTAATTTCTGGGAAATTCACCTATTTTGCATACCCAAATAGAAAAGCAAAGAACTGAGGAACTGTAAGCCCAAATTACGTGTGATACGTTATTTGAAAGCTAACACCTTCTAGTTTCTGAATATATACATGAAAATTGGGTGAGTAAAACACCCAAGCTCCATCAGTTCAAACATTACTTAAAGTTGTTTTTTTTTATTGAAAATAAGTATTTTTTTAAACAGCAGTAATAAAAAACATGCTTCCTTGTTGTGGCTTCTTTGTCATGCTACACTTTGATATGCTGCTACAATTGTGATTTGGTGCTCACCATGTCCATAAAATGAACTAGGTGGAGAATCTAAGCTTTCCAATGATGTCTAACATGTCTATATTGGTAAACATTTTACCAGTGTAATTTTCATGCATTCTGTGTTATTTGTAAACGCTTTAAAACATTTAAAGGTTTTCTCAAACGGTTTTGAGAGGTTAATGTTTTAACATACGATGAGCCAAAGGCCGTTGGATGAAGAGAGAACCAGGCTGCTGCCAAAGAGCTGCATCTTATGGTCACCCAGTCCACAAAAAACCTTCAAACCCTTTATCTATTTTTATTAGAAATAGTCTACTCTTAAGGCAAGGCACCTAAAACCATACATCTGGATGTTCCTACAACAAACGTTTAACTTTGGTTTAGAAACAAAAAGGGTTCTCAACAAATGAGCAACGAATAGGAGTGAAAGCACATATTCACCCTTATTGGTAGAGGATCTGTGATGCTTTGGATCAGTTTTCCAACCAACCTGGGAACCATGTTGGCATCATAGAGTCAAGATTTTTCATGGATCAGTCATTTCTAGATCTATACCACTGGACTGAATGATCCAGCAGATTCTTTCAGTACATTGGAGACTGTAAAATTGACACCTAAGATGGCAGACGGACAAAAATAAACGGTTTTGTTTTTTTTAAAGAGTAACTTGTGATGCTGAGTTCAAACCAAGGGCATCTAACGTCCATCTTGGATGTTTGTGCTCCTTGAAGTCAGACACACATCGGCGTGTGCAGACGCTCCTGACTCGCTTTGCAATTGACTGAGTGGCTTTGCTGTGATGAGTCACAAAGGCTACGTTCCCACTGCAGGCCTTGAGGCTCAATTGTTTGTTTTTTTTAAATCAGTTTTTTTTTGCGTTGCCATTCACATTTCCAAATATATATGCGACTTGTATGTGAACTCCTGTGTTAACTGCAGTCATACAATGCAAGTGTTCCCCATGTGCAGTAGAGGACGCAGTGACGTCACAGGCCAGCGTGCTCTGTGTTTATGGAAGTCAACATGGATGGTAGTGCCAGAGCGCATCTAGCGATCTTTCCCAACCATAAAAAGACAATCTTTTCAAGATGGTTAAACATAAATACTGCTCTCTGCATCATCATCCGCCATGGTTGTTGTTTTTCTTGCAGCTTTTTCATAGCAAGACCCAGAATAGTGACCTTGGACGGGTATTGATGGCGTTCAGATCGGATGAATGCGACCTGGCCGTTCAGACACAGGTCACACTTGAAAAGATCAGATTCGTATCGGATTCCGGACCACATAGCCAAGCGGCCATTGGAAAAAAAAATCGGATCTGACAGCCATGAAAAGATTAGATTCAGGTCACATATGGGCCAAAAAAAAAATTGGATTTGGGTCACTTCATGCTGCGGTCTGAACGTAGCCAAAAAGGTTATTTTCTAAAAACATACATACACATATAAATGTATTTGCAATCAAGTTTGGATATTTTATGTCGGTATTTATAAACTGTTTCATCACAGTTCAGAAACTAAATATTTTAGTGGAGTGATCAGAGCACTCTCACTTTTCTTAGTATGTGAAAAAACACTCGATATTGTTTTTTTTATATGTAAACCTAGTGGAGACTAACACCTTTAATTAAATATATATTATTGTTTATTTTTCCTTGTTTTATGCTGACAGAGCAGCAGGAGCTGAGATCACAGCTTTGAGTCGTGGCCCATCTTCCTGCCACCTCCCAGATTAGCTTCTCTGATTGCTCGGTGAGATACATCGGGATTCTGACTTGTTGGACCCGCTTGATGCGCCTCAGTAGCCGATTCTCAAGTACCAAGAACGCAAGTATGGACTGGTGTTCTCGCCAAGTCTGTTCTTGACTAGAACACGGGAAGTGTCTACTTCCTGGGGAGAACAAGAGCATGCAGAACAAATCTGTATGAATTGTAACACAAACCACTCGTTTACTCTTAAAATCACCGCATGCTCGGCTGGTCTAGACCCTCGTTTCACCTTTTATTATAAATAGTCTCTACCAAACAAATTATTCCATATTTTTAATTTACTAGGGTAATAAATATCAAAATGTACTGAATAGGCTGTATACAAAACCTTATTAAAATGTTAAACTATATATATATTATTTTATTACAGGAAATATTTAATAAATAAAACACAAGTAATCAGAAAAACACAAATAAATGAATATTTTGCCAAAGAAAAAAAACTTCAATAAATCAAAAAAACACCATTGGAATCAGTGGTACCGTGAGAGGGCTGCTGCAGATGGGCTAACGTTAGATGTCAACCGGTGTCCACGGTCCTCTCAACATCACTATTTTTCTTTAAATTATGCACTAAATCAGTAAATTATATATAAAGTATAATAATCTCACTTTAAATGATCTTAAAATGCACTTTTATAGAACAACGGCAACAGAAAAGGGAACTTTTAACTTATTCCAGAGATTATTTCTGTTCTCTGTCAGTTGGAACAGTGCTGGAGCTGAGGCTGATGGCGGTTCACATGAGAACGCACAATGCTTGGAGGCTCAAAGCACCCGATATGTTTAAGACCCCTCGTCACCCCTTGATGATAAAAATGCGTTCAGTGTGAACAAAGCATCAATGTAGCGATACAGCAACCACCCTATACGGGGTTTATAGAGGAACGAGTAACTGATTGAATGCTTTTTAATGCTCTTAGAAATTATTTAAATGCCAACAAGGACCTGCTTTCGGTTGATCGTAAAGCCATATGTTTAGAAAAGAAGCTCGAGACGGAGAAAAAGCTAGAGAATGGGAAAATGCTCATTTCAACAAAAGTGGCTGGAAAATGAGGAATTAGGGACATGGCTGCAGCCTATCGACGGTAAAGATGACGAAGTGTCCTCTCACCAATATCTATATCGCTCTCCTCCTCTTCCTCTTCACTGGACCGTCTCCGCCGCCGCTTTCTGCCCCGTCTCTGGGTTCTCCTGGGTTTGTGTTTAGGTGCCCCTCTCAAACCCCGTTTAGGACGTGTTCCTCTGTCCAAGCTCCCGCCATCGCTGCCTGCTTCCTCCTCATCCTCCTCACCATCATCGGCACCTGAAGCAACAAATTCTTCTTCCTCCGAGCTGCAAGAGATAAATGCGGAGAGAGAATGAGACGGATGGTAGAGAGGGAGAGAGAACACAGCTGTGAGTAGGAAACTTTGAGTGGGACCTGTTACTGAGCATAAATTCTTCTTCGCTCTCTACTGCCGTGCTGTCGCTCTCCAGGTCATTCAGTTTTCGTTTCTTCTTATTTCTGGCAGCCCGGGTCAGGGTTCTGACGGGCCGCTGGTTCTCCTTGACGACCCCTGATAAAACGGAGGGCTGCTCTTTGCCCGTTTCTGCCCCTGGAATGCAGTAAGAGTAAAAACGTTTGCATGCGTTTACGGCGGTAGAGCGTTTTAACATTTTTTGAACTACAAACTTTAATGTGTTTAATTAGGATTTTGTATGACAGACCTGCTATGTGTTAACATACAGCCTCTTCATTCTGTTAACCTAACACACTTAACAGCATGATTAATTAGCCTCGGTAAAAATATCTGTTTGCCTAAATGTTATTATCAAAAAATTTTCAAAGTTGGTTAACAAAGAGCCTCATAAAGCCGGTGAATCAGACATATCAGGTTTGCAGTAAAGAGGGGCGATCAGCCTCTTGCGACCACCTCCCAATCAGGAATCGTAAATTCGGGAGAAAATCAGACATCTTTGCAATCCAGTCGGCCCACTTAATGTGTTCATGAGCAAATCCTGCTGTTGAAGCAGAGCTATGAGCAGATTTACTAGAACCTCGAGCACTGAGCATGAGCAAACAAGGGAGATATTCATTTTCTTCTTCCAGATTGACAAGTCTTACCAGCGCCATCTCCCGGCGCTCAGTCCGACATGTGTTTTTAGGACATGCAGTGTGAGCAGTTAGATTGCATCAGAGCATCGGGCCGTACAGTGTAAGAACATACATCATGAGCTGTGAACTTTTAAACTCCACTGTTTCGTCGTAGTTTGAGCATTACCTCAGTACGATGGAAAACATTGTACAGTGTTTTCCTGGCTTAAGCGGCTCGTGGAAACTAGAGGAGCTGCAATGATCCACAGCAGGGGTGGGATTTGCTTTTGACGGGACAACTATAAGTGAGCACTAGAAAAGTCAGGCAGGAGAAACTTTAGGGGACAGATCAACGTTCGTAGAAGGTGCTCTGATCAGATGAGACCAACATTAAACATTCTGCCTTCATGAAGAAAGTCGCATGAGAGATTCATCTCCTTTATGGTGTTAAACACCATCGCCGTGGTGGAACATGGTGGCTGCAGTATTCTGAATGGGGAAGATTAGCTAATGAGCGATGATGGGAACATGGATGGAGCCAAACACAGGACAAAACGCTGCAAGGAAACCTGAGAGGCTGCAAATAACTTTGCTGTAGCGTCCATGGTCCAGCAGGGCCACCACTCTAAACAAGCAGCCGGATCCACAGTGACTGTTTGGATAAAAGACTTTCCTGTTTCAGACTGTTGCTTCTTCGCTGAGTACGTACCGCTACAGAGGTCCCTGATGTCCTCTTCTATAGCCTCGTCGATGGCATCATCAAAGTCATCAAACCTGAAACAGAACATAAGCTTCTCTATGAACCTTTTCTGCAGCTTAAATCGAGGCGGTCTGAGAGGGCTCAGTTCAGCGACACACCCACCTGTAGCTGATGTGTTTTCTGGTTCTGGTTGATCTCCTCCCCAGATTTTTGGTCTTTTTAGGATCTTTTTTCTTGGCAGATTTCTCCTCCTCCCCCTCCTCCCCATCTCCCTCCTGAGAAAGACAAATGCTGTAAACAAACTTCCTAAAAAACAAACATGGCTCGGTTTACACCTGTTGGTTAACTTAAGATCACAGTTTCACCACCCGTCAAGAGCTTACAAGAGCAAACGAAACCCTCATGAAACCACAACATGAGCAAAAAAATACAGAGAAAGCCTGAAAGCCTAGGACTAACTCAACTTTTCAAAGAGGGAATAGTAAAACGGGACTTACAGGAATGATGTTCTCCACACTGATCCCCACATACACCAGCCGTTCCCTCCTGGGAGGAGAACAAACAAAGTAGGTGGAGTTTTCATTTTATTTAACTCAAACCATGTGAATTATTGCAATATTCAAATAAAGAAAACCAATCATATCCTTGGTGTGAGCTCACCTCCTCTCTGCCCGTTCTTTTTTCTTCAGAGCGCTGTCCAGGTTCTGAAGCTGCTCCTCTAGTTTCTCACACAGCATCTTCTACAAGATGAAAATCAGAAACCGATCGCCATCAGTTGTATGAAGTGGATGTTAATTCATCTGATTTGTGCCTCGAACTGATGAGCTATTAAATGTAGGGCTGGACCTGTTGGTCCGTTCATGCATTGAGGCGTTATCATATCCACAGCCAGGGTTTCAAACTGCGTGCTGAAGTTGTATTGGGTCAACTGCGTGAGGGTTTTTTATACAAATGTATGAAGTGATTTATTAGAGGGGAATACACAATGACGATAAATTCCAAACATGGTAAGAAAGAGAGCTATAAAAATTATGCAAAAAAAAATTTCCAGGAAGTTCTATGATATTTGAAAAGATCAACAAGATCGTAAAAAGTCTTTACAAATATCGCCCTCATTCATTTTCTATTTCTAATCATTAATTTGAGTTTAGATTAATTCCTCAACACAAAACTTCAATGGCATTTATGAAACGAAGCGTAGAATGCTTTTAACCAATTCAAATAATAATCTGAACAATATTTTATTGTTTAACAATGAGAATCAAACTGGGTTCTGTTAATCGATGTTCTCTAAACAAGCTAAACTTAAACCGAACAGTTTACACAGATTTAATTCTTTCACAGGCTCAAAACTATCCATACAGGCTCAAATATATAAACATGACAGAGGACAGCGTTCCCTTATGTTGAGGGAAAGCTTTGGAGAATAAAAACTCTGATTCCAGGATATTTAACGAAATAAAAAAGAATAAAATAAGTTATTTAGACTGACAACTACTTTGCAAAGTTCCAGAAAAAGACCCAAACTGCCTCCTTCAAATGTGAAAAAAAAAAAAAAAAAAAAAATAGAGATATTTTGGTCACAATGAAAATAAGTATGCTTGATGATTCCAAACCTAAGAACACTGCCCACTGTCAAGCATGGTGGTGGCAGCATCATGCATTATCCACATTAAAAATGGTAGATGAAATAATGCAGTTTTTTTCTGATAATTTAAATTAAAGCTTAGTGTTTTTCTTCCTGCTGTCTCCATGTGCATTGATGGGCTCTTTCTGGGTACTCCAACTTCCTCCCACAGTACAAAAGCATAAAGCGGTTTGATTAATTGGTCTCTAAATTGCCCTTAGGTACACGTGCGTAAAGTTTAATGCATGGTTGTTTGGCCCGTTCCGTCTCAGTGTTGCCATGTGATTGGCCAACGCCTAGAGGGGGTAACCCAATGGCAGCTGGAGACAGGCACCAGCCACACAGCACAAGTAAGCAGGTATAAACAGTAGAACTGGAAGCTTTCCTATGAATCATCCAAAGCCTTAAATGAGTATATTTATCTTTGCTCTGATTATGATCGTCTGACAAAAACTGTAAATGTCTAAAATGTTTATCATTCTTTGAACTTACATGTTGGCAGGGTGGACAGAACCATTCCCCATCCGGGATCAGCATGAGCGGCGGCCGCAGGCAGGCAGTATGGTATCCTCTATCACACAAGTCACAAAGCAGGATCTGGGGAAAAAAAAAAAAAAAAAAAACACACCACAAATATATAGTATATAGAGTAAATATACTAAAATAAAACATATTGATGTGGAAAAAATAAAAAAAATCCTGAAGTTTATGACTCAAATACAAATTAAAGTGAAGGAATTTTTTTTTTTTTTTGAAACAAGGTTTTGATAACTTCAGACTGATAATATTCCTGTTTTTGCTCATTAGTGTAACATTACTGATGTTGGAAGTACTCATTTGTAAAAACATATAATAACATCTTGGGTTTATTCATTCAAAAGTGAAAATAAACAACAAAATGTTGGGTGTTTTTTAAAGCAGTGAAGCTGAAGGCTTTATATTCAGATTCTAACGGGTTCACTGTTATCAGCTGCTAACCTCGGGGCAGCTGTGGCCCAGACTGAGGAGGAAAACCAATTTATTTATGCCTGCTGTTGGTTTTAACTCTGGACCCTGAGCTTTACTCCTCCTTTGCAAAGCCTGAATAATTAGTTAATGAAAAGAGAACAAATCAGAATAGTAAAGTCCTAATAAATCTGAGTATTTATCAAACTGCCACCAAACTTTAGCAGCTCTGAAGTAAAGAAATCTTGTTTTGCAGTGACAAAAGAATTTCTTGTTAAAAATATGGAAGTTTGTACCAGTTCAGGGTGATTAGGCAGGCCGCAGTGAAAGCAGGCATCCTCAGCGGGAAACTCCTCGGATTTAGAGAATTCCTCCTCTGAGGCACTTTCTCCTTTCTCCTCCTCTCCTCGTTTCTTCCCCCTGTCACCAACCTCCCCCTCCTCACTTTGTTTGTGTCTCTTAGGGCGAACGTTGGTCCATCGGGGTCGGCCATGCCTTCGTTTACCCTGAGAAGACGCAACAGAAGAATGTCAAGATTTGAAGGAAAACAAAGAAACGATTCGACAATCACATTAAAAAAAACAAAAAAAAACAAAAACAAGTTTTCATATATAACAGCAGGTTTAGGATGGGCTACCTTGCGCTTGCTAAATTTTCCAGCAGGTTCTTGTTTTTGGTTCTTTGAAGAAGGAGGGTCTTCATCCTCCTCCTCATCTTCATCCTCGTCCGCCTCCTCTTCCTCCGTTGTTCTGACAGGTGGTGTCTGTTTTTTTTGCTGTTTTTTTCTCTGGCTCTCTGCCACCTTCGAGCTTGGCCTGCAGTTTGGCAAAGCAGATGATCTTCAAGAAAAAAGGTGCAGATGTGAGGAATATTTATTGACAATTACCCGTAGCAGATTTGGATTTGGCATTGGTCTTATACCTGCAGATCCTTGCAGATCTCCGTAGCATCCTCTCTTCCTTCTGCACCTCCTGTTCCCTGGTTTTTATCTCCTCCTTTCCTTCTTTCCTCCGTAACTTGTTTCTCCGGTGGGGTGGGATCTTGATCTTTAGCCTGATTCCTTCTTTCTGGAGTTCAGAGGAGGCTTCCTCCAGAGGAACCCCCTTTTTCTGTTCTGATACAAATCCAATCTTCTTCAGCTTAACCACGCTGACCAGCCCCCCATTGACCCCTTGTCCCTTTCTGTCATTTTTATTCAGATTGTCTGTTTTTTGAGTTGAGATGATGCCACTTGAGTCAGAGTCTGCTTTCCCTGATGTTCCTGAGTTTATTCCAGGTTCCTCTCTAGCTGCACATTGTGTGTCTTTTCTGCTCTCCTCTGCATCGCCCTCCTCCAGTTCACTGCTTTTATGATCAGTGGTCTTGCCCTTGTCAGTCTTTTCTGTTTTGGTGCTCTGGTCTTCCCCACCACTGGTTTCCAGTGTGTTCAGAGGGGAGAAACCAAGAGAATCCCCTTTTCCCCCTAAAACGTGGGGTTTCAAGGATTTGAAGGGTGAAATTGCACGAGGAGGGAGAGTTGAGGCGGCTGGTGCTGTCTCCTGATCAGGCTGAGCTTTTCTAACCAGCACCGACTGCCTGCTCACTTCCTTACCTTCATTTGCAGCCTTCGAGCTACAGAGTTCCGACTTTGGCCCGTTTTCCTCCAGGTGCTCAGCACCAGAAGGTCTGTGAAGTTCAGACGGGCTGCGGATGACTCCAACATGACCGACAACTCCGACCTGGCCAATGACCCCATTATGACTGTCTTTGGTTGGCAGATGAGAAGCTCTACCATTGGTCATTTCCTGCCTTGATGCAATGACAACCGGCTGCTGCTGAGAAGATCCTGGATCTCCTTGTGCTGCTAAAGAGTTCAGCGACTTCCCCTCTCTTCCCTGAGAGTCTTTACTGTTGATCACTGAGGGATTGCAGACGATGATACTGCTGCTGTTAGTGTTGTTAAGGTGGTTGGTTTGGAAGCAGCCAGCGAGCTTAAGATCCCTCTTCTTCAGAGGTATCTTGGCCTGCTGGTTGCACCTGACAGCGGCCCTCTCTGCCTCGTCTTCCTTGTTCATCTTTATTAAACTCACGCTGGGTGACATGAGTACAGACACGGCGTTCTTGGGTCCATCAGTACCTCGGTGTTCCGACTTAACGGCGGTGATCGTGCTCACGCGGTTATCAAAAGCATCCAGTTTACGATTCATTTCCCCCTCCGTCTTGATTTCAGGGTTTTCCTTCTTTATCTCCTCCTCTTTTATTACTGCAAAACAAAAAAAATTGAAGGATTATCCACAAACATCAAGCAAAGAGCAGATACAGTGCTTTGTTGATTTATTTATTTATTTATTTATTTTTTCACCTTAAACTTGTCTAGAATTGAATAGTTATTAAGGTTGGACAATATGTAAAAATGTTCCAATTGATATTCGTCAGTCCTACAAATGCTGATGGACGATATATTCGTGCAGCTGACTTTGTGAACAAACACAAGCAGACCTTCAGAGCGCGTCTCCTGCACCCCTGGTAAAATTGTTAAGCACCTGCTAAAACCCAATAAGGTAAACATGCTTGTTTTCTAGTCTAAAATGTAGAATTCTCATCCAGTGAGAAGAGTTGTCTCTTTTCCATTTGTTCTGACTAGGTTATAAGACATTAGAGTTTTTTGATCATTATTTATTTGCTAATCTGAATGCGCAAAATCAAACAGACTGAAAACTGGCACAGAGATTTATTTTTATGGAAAGCGCACAGCTTCATTGTTTAGTTGTTTAATTTTGTATTTGTTGAGGTAAAATCAAACCCATAACAGCGGCCTATAAGAAAATAAAAATAAATAAACTCTCAGTCTGGTTCTGGTTAGGCTATTTAAAAGAAAAACAAACAAACAGTCTCTGATTTGGATCAGTTATTACTTTCTCGAGTATAAGTAGATGAATCACTGCTGCACGGTGGCACTGGGGGAAAAAAAGCAGCAGCTAGGAGCTTTGTTTTTGTTACCCTGTAGGTCCAAAAAAGAAACAAAAAAGGTCTCTCTTAAAGGAACCATCATTGAAGGATTGAGTCTATCGTCAATAGTCCATAGATTTGTTCATCTGAATGACCTTAACCTCTCAAAACCCACTGCGTTTTAAAATGTTTACAAATAACTCAGAATGCATGAAAATTACACTGGTAAAATGTTTACCAATATAGACATGTTGGACATCGTTGGAAAGCTTAGATTCTCCACAATTCAACCACCAAATTCATTTTATGGACATAGCGAGCACCAAAGCACAATTATAGCAGCATCTTGAAATGTAGCATGACAAAGCAGCCAACAACAAGCAAGCATGTCTTTGTTACTGCTGTTCAAAAAAGACGTATTAGAATAAAAAAAAAGTCTTGTTGAGTCTTGTTTGAACTGATGCAGCTTGGGTGTTTTACTCACCCAATTTTCATGTATATATTCAGAAACTAGAAGGTGTTAGCTTTCAAGTAACGTATCACACATGTAATTTAGGCTTACAGTTCCTCAGTTATTCGCTTTTCCATTCGGGTATGCTAAAATAGCTGAATTTTAAAGAAATTAGGCAGATATTAAGAGGTTAATAGCTATATAACTACTGACTCATTAAAACAAAGATCTGCTGCACTATTGTCCTTTATTACTCACAAAATAAAAAAAGGCCCTATCAACTGGCTCCAATGAACAAAAGTATCACAAAGCTCAAAGAACCCATTAGACAGGTCCCTGATGAGGTTTCGTAGAATCAGTAAAAGATAGTAAAAAACATTAAGATTGTAAAAAAAAAAAAAAAACATAACATGTCATGACTATCTACGAAAGCAGAATTTTTTGGTTATGGATCTACCTGCAGCCATGCACAGTGGAGGGACTGACAGATACGCAAACGGTGCAGCATTGATGCTGGCTTTTTAGGGGATAGAGAAATCACTCTGTCCAGCAGCCGGCTCATCTAGAAAGACCAGCTGTTTGAGAATCCGTCCCTACCTCTCTGCTGACACCCCATCTTCTCCTTAAAGGGACCTGTCGGGAGGTCCACACGTGTTCATGTGCTTTCCAGGGCACGTGACTTTGTGTGATTTTGATTCTGATTGGATGGTGGCCTGTTTAGCTGAAATGTACTAATGGAAAATACCTTTAAAACGGTGCAAATGAATGGCCAATGACACCAAATTTGAAATTCTGCTGTGTTTGGCATAATCTAAATCACATCATCTCCACAGCAAAATATGATGGTGAGAATTTTTTTAAGCTGATCAGGGTTCTCAAGATATATGAAGTCAAATTAAACTTTATGTAAAATGTTATGGTGGCTTTCTTCAGCAGAGACATGGGAGCATTTTAGCTAAATACAGGGCAATCCAAGAAGAAACATTTTAAGCTAATAAATAGTCTCAACTTCAAGTGTGTATCCATTTCATAAATGTATACTTGAAGACTTTAGGGTATGTTTAGATCATCTTCATCCATATGGAATTAAGAAGGATGAATCAATGGAAATCTCACCTTTAAATGTTAAAAAAAACCATGTATGATTTTCCTTTAGTTGTGTGCTAATTTGTCTTGGCTTATCACATATAAAATAAATAGTGGTGGGCCGTTATTGGCGTTAACCACATCGAACATGACGTGCTGACTTGGATGAAGCTATAAAGCCGCCGGGTTAGCTTCAGAAAAATGTATTTTTAAGAAACTTCCCAATGGAAACCTCAACACGACTAAAGGTGTTTGCACCTTGTGCAATGTGGAATTAGTTTACTGCAGGAGTTCTTCCGGTCTCACGTACCACCTAAAAGCAAAGCATCCTTTAACAAATACTGAAAATACTGGTCGGGCCAAGCACTGATGTATCAGAATCAAAACAGACGTACTTTAATAATCACAGAGGGAAATTACAGCAGGGGAATAGTTGTGTCGTCAAACTACAATGTTTGAGTGCAACAGAGGCAAGCCGGCCAGCACATCTATCAGCCAAGCTAACTAACCTTCTTGCTCAATGGATTGCCACCAGCTGCCTCCATCAGTGTGGTTCAACATGATGGGCTCGAACCTTTTCAAAGACTTACTTTTACTTATTAATTAATGTAGCACACATGAGCCATTTTAATCTAGATTCATCTAGATTAATTACAAGATTACAGTGAGATTAATCTAGATTTAAAAATATAATCTAAGCTCAACACTAAAAATAAAAATACATACGTTTTTAGGTTGTAATGAGAAGTGAAAACATTCAAATAGTAAGATATTTTTTTATATTTATGTAGCCGTTTACAGTCTGCACTCAGTTTGAAAACATCAACAATTAAATTAAATAAAAAAAAAATACTTTATTAATGTCAAATTATATGTTACTGTAACTGATATGATAGAGGTTTCTTCAAAGCCTGAGGAGCCCACTCTGCCCCTATCTGTTGTTACGATTTCCATACCAGTTTAACATTTTTATTTTACCTGCATGAGAATCTCTTCTGAAGGTTTACCAGGTTATTTTGTGTTAAATATGAGACTATGCGTAACTTTATTTTGAAGGGCTATGTTAAGCAGCTCAGCTAGTGGTCTTTATTTTGTTGGTGCCAGTCGTTTTGAAATGCAGACCTTAAGGCTGATTTATAATTTGAAACCAGGTCGTCTGCGTAGGTGTCGCAGAGATGCCCCCGCCCCCTCCACAGACACTCTGCTGCACCTCTCCCAAATTGTAGGTGACCGCAGACAGTGCCGCTGACAGGAGGCCTCTGATTGGTCAAATCTACATCCACTCTACTCTATGCGTACTTCTTGTTTGGCACCTTACAAGCTTGTTTTGTTTGGATGACCGCCATTGTGGAAAACGACTCATGAAGATGGATCAGCTAGAATAGCGAGGTGTGCGAGAACACAGGGCCCCTTTTTTCACGTCGATTCCCACTCTTTTTTGCCCAAATGGATATACTCACGTTAGGAAGTAAAAGCCTGGAGGAAAACATTGAAGATATTTTTCCGAGCATTTAGGCAATGAAGTATTTATTTGTCTTTATTTGCATTATGGATTGTTGAGTGCTGAATACTAATACTGTATGTTAGTTTCTTGGATTGATGAGGTCTTTGGTCGAAGAGGACAAGAATAAAATCCCTTTCCTCTTACCCCTCCTGCTTTCAGTCTGACCTTTAACCATAGTGAAGGGTAACACTCACCACCACTGGTATTTTCTTTAGTTAATATAAACTTTCTGAAAGGACAGCTAGTAATAAGCAATGATGAATAATAAACGCTTTAAACAAAAAGTTTGTTACCTTCTTTGATTGGATTCTTTTCCATTAAAATGTCAGCCTTCTTGTTGTCATTTTGTTCCACTGAAGGTATGGGGAGCTTGGCATTCTTGACTTCACCGTCTTCATTTGCTATGGACCAAAAACCAGAAAATATGAAACGGTACAAAATCGGGAAGTGATTTATGTCCCTTTAATAGAATAATCTTTGATCTATTCAAGCTATACCCCAACAAATGTTCTTGTTATTGATGATGAACTAAACCGAAAAAAAGAGGAGCAAAAATTTTAAACTGCTTTGTAACAATTTTAAGAAAATGTTAATTTTCAATTCATACCTGTATCCTTCTCTGCAGGACTGGTGCTTTGGGATCCAGCCTGATTCTGGTTCTGTTCCGGATCCTGACATTGATCAGATTCAATCTGTGCCTTAAGCAGTTCCAGGGCCTCTGCTAAGTCATTACGTGTCCGGACGATGCACTTCCATGTGGATCCATCCAGATCATCCTGCTCCTCTGTATAAAGCCGGATGTTCTGTTCCTGGTCCAGCTGGAGCCAGTACATCAAGCCCTGCTGGTCCCGGCCGATAGGCTGCATCCGCATCTTCTCGGGGTCCTCCTCGTTGACTGCCATCTTGAACTTCAGATTGTCATCAAACTGACACTCACACAGATACTAGAGGATTAAAGAAGGATGTGCTGCAGTGACTTGAGACTTTTCTGCATCATTAAAATTGTGTAAAAGCATCATACCTTCAGTATACATGACTTGCACTCCATTGACATCTCCTGGTAACCCTTCTGTTCCAACTCCCAGGCCCATGTGCTGTTCAGCTCCTGGCAAACCTACACAACAAGAGGAGTTGGTTTAGATTCTATTTATTTTCACTAGTTCAAATCAACATCTCTCAAACTATATGTAGGTTCAAATATGCTGTCTGATGACATCATAAAGGAAGTACATCCTCCTACCTTAGCCAGGTATTTTTCCCAGCGGTCAGTGGTTACAGACCTCCCCAGTTTTCTCAGCAGCTTCACATGAAGCTCCACCAAAGGCGTTGGAACTGAGAGCAAACACAACAAAAGAAATCCTTATGCCTAAAATACATAAGCTAATGCTAGTTACTGGGCCAAAGAAGGTTATGGTTTTAAAGCTGATAAGATTTTCTGTCATTCTCTATCTACAGTTTAACTTAGACTACTGGCCAACAGATCAACATAAAACTACTACCCTTGCTTAAAAAATAGATGATACTATTTAGAAATGCTGTCATAGTCTCACACCACCAACTGTGGTGGTGATCGGAGCATAATGCCCATATCTGCTGGTAAGGAAGCTTTTTTGCTACTAAGAAAAAGTAGTCCCGTTCCATTTTTTAAATTATGCAGGGGAAGGAACTTCTGCAAGATCAATGACTCAAAGCTTGGCTTTCTCACCTTATCTTGATACCATTTGGTATAGTAAAGAGAAATTGATTGGAATGTCTAACAGCTGAAATCAAATTAGGAAATATACATCAGATTTTAATATAACAGATTTAATTTTTCTGTATTAAATATTGGGTCCATTTGTCTTTTAAAGTGACTAGAAATTATATTTAGTGTAAATTGGCTCTTGACAGATATATCAAGATGAATTGCCGAGAAATGCGATAATAAACTTTCTTACAATGGTACTCACTGATCTGCGATAAGGAGCATTTGTAAGTAAATGTAAACAATTCACAACGTAAATATTAGCAAAAATTACTGTAACTTAGACACGATAAGCTTGAACAACAGAGTAGACCATTTTTATATATCTACACATTCCTGGTGGCTCTTTATACTCCTTTCCATTGACCTCTAACCTCAAATCCATTTTAACCATCTTCAAATGAAAGTATTTGCCAGTTGCTATAGTCAATGAAAAGGCTACTGTTAGCAAAATATAAAGAAATTAATTTCGCTTATGTTGTCTTCATTTAAAAAAAGCAAGCTAAGCAATGCATATAAAGAAATTATGAAATTCACAATTTATTAATGAATGCAGCTAGCATTACATTTTAAACTGAGGGATTATAATATTAGGTTTAGTGAGAAACCTGCATCCTTCTTTGAAATCATGTTCCAACATTGACAACTCCATTTTGAATATGTAACATCAATATATAAGAATGATGTTTATATCTTAGATAATAAAACACAACATATATAACAAATTCCTTAGTTATTAGTTGCTATTCGGGGTTCTCGCTGTACAAAAATGTCAAAATCAATATCAATACCCAGGGAAATATTTGTTGCCCAATTCCTTTTTTTCGATACTGCGATACCGTCAGGGATAAAAAAAAATGGCAATGACTGAAATGTATAAAGAAAATGTATTTATTAACATGAGAAACTCAATTTCTAAAATCTTTTCAATTATTTCATCTAACCAAAATCACACGTTCTATTCATGAAACAAATGTGCAAATAAATATAACATAAATAATTCAAATATAATCCAGTTTGACTATATTTTAATGTTGTTTGAAGTATCATTGTGCATCAGTTTTTAATGGACAAAATAACCTAGAAATTTAGAAACTCACAGCAGCAAAAAAATATGCAAACGACCGCCAAATTAGTATTGTATCCAGATGCAGTGTTTGAGTATAGATACTTTTCAGAGTATTTATTATTTGACAAACCTAGTTGCTATTATGTTACTCTTACTTAGTTATTCTATGCTTTAAAATGTCCAAACTGTTTACTTACAAAGCTAGGTTTAAAGTGATGGTATACTTATTCAAAAATGTTAAAGAATCATTGGTTTCAAGAAACATCACTGAAAAGGAAGGTACAAATGTGCTTATAACAGTTTCAAGACAAAATAATATACTGTGATATTTTGATATTATTATTATATCATAAAGTTTATTTAGGATTTCTTTCTTGTAATTTAAATAATTTTTTTAGACACATCTTTACTGTGTGAATTGTTTTATAACTGTAATTTTTTAAAGTACAACTATCAGGGCAGCATGCTATTATTATTACAGAGTTTGTCATACAGATTAACAAGGATTTCGTTTAGGATTACAGGGAAGGGAATTCATATTTGAAACTCATCTTTAGATTAATGGCATAACACATAGATATAGTATCCTTTCTTTGTCAAGAACAAAGGTTCAATGTCACAAAGGCAAAATCTTACAAACTAAAGTACCTTTTTTTAAAAAGAAATACGCGAATTAAAATGATCAAGTGCTTTTTGGGTGGTCTGCTATGAGGCTGTCACGGAACACTTAAAATGTCAGGAAATTCCAGTTTTCTCTAATGACACGCTAAACCGAAGACTAATTTCTCCGTTTTCTTACCTAATTTAATGACCAAAGCAATACTCCCAGCCTATACATACATGTATGCCTATAAACAATGGCTTATACATTAACTGCTATACTGCAAAATAGCTATAAATAGTTTTCTAATGCGTAATTTCACAAATATTCGACAAAATTATAGCTAGCTCGTTAGCCAATAGCTAATGCGCGTGCGCAGATTGAGAGGCACTTCACCCTCTTCCAGAAAATAACATCCAATGTTCCGAACGAACATGACTCTCTGGGGCTTGACAGCTACGATAAAAAAGCCAACCCTGGTAAAGAATTGCCCCACATCTAATAAAGAATGGTTACTAGAATGTTATTCGACCGTATGCGAGAGAAGGCCGGGGAAAAATTACACCTGACAAGGCTCCGGAGCTAACCGGTTGGCTGTGTGTGGTCACTCGGCGGAGCATCATGGCTCCTCGTCCAACTTTACTAGATCAATCTATGAGCTTTGACAACAGTCCACAGCTTCTCATTTACCACCGGGGGAAACATGGTGCCACATGTGCTCCCGTGTGTGAAACGAAACTTTGAAGCCTAAACTGTATGGTTCTTACAAACTCGGGGTAAAACTGTCAAGACTACCCACGAAAACTGGCTTTGACCAGGGCCATCATTGGTAAAATAACGGTCCAAGTGAAGGGCTTCATATCCGAGCGGGACGCTGTTCTATCGGGGTAACAGCTAACAGCATATTTTCCACAACAGTCATGTCCACCATAGTGGTGGTGGAGGTATCCCTAGTGGTGTTAGCCCCTTTCGCCCTCGGCTTCAAGTGTCGCAGCTTCCCACCACTTATTTCTGCCAACCGCCGCTGAGAGCTCACCTGCTGTCGTGTCGCGCAGATACTTCTCCATCAGCGGGAAAGTCATCTCGGGGAGGTCCAGCGCTGCTCCGTATCGTTCCAGAAACGAACATACCTCCGCGAAGCTCGGGCAAAGCGGCGGGCCGGAGCTTCTCACCACCGCCGGAGCAGCCATCTTTCCAGGCGGAGAGAGAGAAATGAGAGGGGAGGGATCGGAGCTCGGATGCGACTTGCGCGAATGAAATGAATGGAAGCAATGAGGGATCTCTACCGGTGTCAAGTTAGACACCGGAAAGCAGGAAACACAGGGTTTAAAACTTTCAAAATAAATGCAGCTAACTGACATCAAACAGTTGTTGATTAAAACGAATTGATTAAATCTCAGAAACTACATTAAACTACGGACTATTGGCCACAAAATTTTTGTTTTAATTCTATGTCAATATATGAAAAAAAGTTAGAATAATGAGTTTTTTTTTCTCAAAATTCTGACTTTAATCTCAGAATTCTCACTTTTTTCACACAATTCTGAGTTTTAATCTCAGAATTTTTGTTTCAATTCTATGTCAATATATGAGAAAAAGGTTGAACTTATTACTTTTTTCTAAAAATTCTGAGTTTAATCTTAGAATTCTGACTTTTCTTTCACAGAATTCTGACTTTTAATCTCAGAATTCTGCCTTTTTTTCAGAATTCTGACTTTAATCTCAGAATTCTGACTTTTTTTCTCACAATTCTGACTTTAATCTCAGAATTTTGGATCTTAATCTTAAAGGGCACCCTGAAGGAAGAGATGTGGGAGCACCCAGCTTCACTGAAAAAGATGTGAGTTGTTTGGGAGGGGCAGTAACACATTGGTGGAAAATGATGGAATTAGGTGACTTTTTAAGCCCAAGGGGTCCCTGGTGATGCTATTTCATTAATGGAAGAGCAGAAGGTGATTAAAACAAGAGAGATAGTTTAGTCTCTAAAATGACATGGCTATGGCTTGATGGTAACATGTTTGTTAGCTGTCAGAATTCTGAGAAAAAAGTCAGAATTCTGAAGAAAGAGTCAGAATTCTGAGATTAAATTCAGAATTCTGAGATTAAAGTCATAATTCTGACAAAAAAAGTCAGAATTCTGAGATTAAAGCCATAATTCTGACTTTTTCTGATATTATACTGAAATAAAATTTTAAAATCAGTTAATTTTTTTGTTTTTTCAGTGGCCCTAATCGTCTTCCGTATCAAACACAAGATTAAACATAAAAGAAAATTATGTAAGCAGTTAGAAGGCATAAAACGGTAAAAATAGATGATCTAAAAGGGTTTGTAACTTTACTTATTTATTTTTTTTTTCAAAATTTGAGCTATTTTAATAAAAATCGTAATAAAATATCAACCAAATGGATTACGATTAATAACAAAAACACAAAATCAAATGGAATAATTTTCCCAAAAACTTTAAAAAAAAAAAAAAAAGGAAAAGGATAAAATGAAACCCCTTGGGACAAAGGAAAAGGCATAAATTATACAAATAAAAAACAAGCTTGCTTTGAAATCAGAAGAAATTTAAATGGGATAGATTGTTTAAGTATATTAAAATATTTTCCTTCTAGATAAAAAGCTCAAATGATCACATTTAAGCATTAAAGTCAGCTGATTTTAGTGACAACGCACAGGCTTCTTTGTCAATTATTTCAGAATTTTTACTTATTCTGTGCGATAGTATATTAGCTATTGCTCCTTTTAATACTATAGTATATTGTGGATCGTTAAAAAATCGGACTGTTTTGCTAAATGTTGGTTTCTGCTTTTCCCTGATCATTATACTTTTATGTTTGAAATTATTTTGAAACTTCCGGAAAATGTCAATAGATTTATTTCAGCTCTTGATTCAGCTCTGAGAAGTTTTGAGGGACCACAGAGGACACAGCCAAATTGCCCAGAATTCATCGCGTCTGAGTAACATCAACAACAAAACGGTTTTGGTTTTCATTCCTCGGATATTTCCAAACCGTGGCCCCTCATGTTCACAGATTTTTCTACCAAAAAACAGAAGTCCCCGCGGACGAGTGGGCATGGAAAGCGTTTAATTAATCCAAGTAATTTTAAAATAGCTTCACATTAACTGTATCTATCAGTCTATCTAGGAAATATATAAAACAAAGCTACTAAATCTTTTATGCCTCATCATATCATAAATCATAAATATCCTATTTACATTTTGTTAGCTAATATATATTTTTTTACTGTTGATTTAAAACAACATTTGCGGGAGAATACACTTAAAACATAGTTTTAATAAGTTAGCATCAAAAACATTTTTTTTTCTGTTACTGTCCGCTTCCTCCTCGAAGAATCAATTACCAAGCTTCATTGAACGTACCACGATGGACAGAAAATCGATATTTCCTACGTGTACGTGAATGCAACTGGTATAAAGTAATGGCGGAAGGAGTTCGGAGGCTTACAGGAAGAAGGTGCTTTCGAAAGTTGTTATTGTTCTATCATCTAATGCGCCGTGCCGCCACATCGTCCAGGCCTGGAAAACAAATAAATGTTATTTTCTGAAGCGACAGACTTCTGTATACCACAGCAATGACACTATAGTTATTAAACAACAAACTCGGTGTGGGTAAGTTACTTTTCTTTTTTCTTTTTTGTTTTATAATAAAGTTATATGACAGCAATAATGGTTACTACCTTCTAACCAGGCCTTTGGTTTCAGAAAATAGTATTTATGTGGGAGAATATTGATAATATTTTTGTTGTTTGTTTCAACTCTGCCTCTAAATAAAGCAGTTGCATGTAATGAAAGAAGCACGTTGATGCTGCTGTCACGAGCTGTTTTTAGCCAGGACTCCTGTTTCATCTCTTTAACTTCATTAAATTGCTCAAGAGGGATAATGCTGAAGAAAACAACTGGAAAACCATTGATAGATAAAAAATCTCTTTATAGATAGATAGATAGATAGATAGATAGATAGATAGATAGATAGATAGATAGATAGATAGATAGATAGATAAAAAACCTCT